TTTGTGTAATAAACGCCAAGGAGGCAAATGTGAAGCGAGAAAGAATCGCTAGCTATTTTAAACATTTATCACTTCTAAAACTTTAAAACAAATACAAAGAAATGTCCAAAGATTGAATAGAAATCTTAATAAAAGATTTCAGAATTGATTATCTTTACGAAAGTGATCAAAAGTGGATAACAAGTGTCACTGTGAATGGAATTCTCGGTTGAAAGAAACATGGTTTTGCTCAATTTGACAGCGAGAAAACATGGCAGCGAAGTTGATTGTTTCGTCTTGCCTCGAGAAGATATTTTGTGGAACTGAAGAGCTATCGCTGGAAAAAGTTTGAAGCTGCTGACTGTTTCCTTGAAATACTCGTATTCTTTATCGGGCGGTGCATTTAAATCATGAGAAAGCACGTCGCTGAACAACCGCAGCTGTCCTGACGGAGGACGTGTGTTGTAGCTCCTGAGGGAATACTCTTTGCGGTGACCAACGAGAGATTGTCATGATATTACGATCAGAAAGACCTGCATGAGACCATAGGGTTATGCCTGTGGCCCTGACACAAGTCAAAATTATGAACTTCGTCTTCAAAATACATCTTTGGGGGCGTTTTTTTCCTCGAAAGAAACTGTAAATTTTCAATTTTTGAACTTGTACCGGGAAAACACGAAAGTTGTGACGTCACAACTGTGTTTACATACCCTCATGCAAACATGGCTATCAACCAATCACAGCGTGCGTACTATTTAATTTATTTTATAAAAACCAATAATGTTCACAATCGCTTGTACGATATAAACACAAATGGTTATTTGTGCAAAATCAAATCGTATTTTACGACTATTGAATACAGCAAAAACAAACAAATGAATCAGGATATTTAACAAGAAAGTTAAAATTACATATTTACTTTTGAAGTTGCTTCGCTTACTATATTCTTTATCCAATATGGCGATTTGCTTGAAGTTGTTTGCTTCACCCTCGAGGTTCTGCTAAAGGAGATTTTCTGTTATTTCAACATCTGAGGTGTTCATTTCAGCGTCATAGTTTTCTGTTGAGTCACTAGTCATAGTTTTGGCAGTCTTTTCGAGGTTTGTGCTCGAATATAGCTCATTTGTTACCTCGTGAGTCCTAGTATGAATTTGGCTAGTAATCTTACAAATGTACATGTTTTCAAAGATTTCAACGCTTTCAAGCTATAAGATTCGTGGACCGACCCGTTCCGCAAAAGCTCTACATCTTTTAGTGTGGGCCTACCATGAATGGCGAGTGCGTTTCAATGTGGGATGATCATATAAGGCATAGCACTTTCCAAAGATTTCTTCACGCAACAACTTTATAATCCCACGAACCGAAGCAGAAGGAACGAAGAAAGCAGGGTTTAGATTAGCATTGATTAACATGCGGTTATGATTCTCATCCCCAGTTCCCAGCGACCCAGCTAGGACGCCTGGGACCATGACCCCCATTTTGGCGACCAAATACGACGAAAAAGAACGGCCTGCATTTTTAGACTCGGGTTCCTGCGGAAGCCCGAGTAATAACTCTCTCCTGTGTAGAAGAAAAGATTTCCTTAAGATATCAGGGTACCCCTAGCAACCATTGTGCATTCAATTCTTAATAGCACAAAACCTTTTAATCGAAACCTCGAAAAAGTATACATTTTCTGAAAGCTGAATAAATGTAGAAACTATTGCTTTATTATTTTTTGTAAAATATTTTTCTCCTTTTAAGTTAGATCGAGTTATTCAAATTTTCACCGTGGCATATTAGCAGAGTTCGATGAAAGCCGGTAATGATGGGAAACCAATGCTTATTGCCTTTCCGAGATCGCAAGACATCACTTGTCAAAAGTATGTCTCCGATTTTTGATTAGTTGCCCCGATGCTTTTTATACGCTCTTAAAGTTATGACGCTGCTAATCATCGGTATACGAGCCAAAATTCACGATAACTTTGGAAATAAGCAAAAACTAAAAAATTGCAGACATAATTTTAAAGAACAACTATCCAAGATGACTTCCTCAAATTTCCTTTGACATATGACTCAAAATGTACGATAACTGAACGCAAATCACTTCCGAGAAAAACGCAAAAAATGTTTCTGACTGAGCGGAAGCGCCTTTGTTGACACAAACCGTATTTTTTTTATTACTCGCTATTAAAATTCACTATCGAAATTTTTTTTGGGGAAAATCGAAGAATATTATATATTTTATAGCAAAATGTAAATTTTTTGAAGTCGGAAAAAGGAAGGCTTTTCATGAATGTTTCACGGCAGTCGTGCATGCAAAGCAAGAGCCAGACAAAAACTTTCGTAAAAAAAAAAAATCTTACATTCATTCATTCATTTTAGAAATTCTAGTATATAAAAAAGTATCTGAATGTTTCTCTTATATTTTGGAAGAGAAAAAACTGGGAGTACCCACGCGTTTTAAAAAGTTATGATTTTTTAAAGTATTTTTTTTGAGGATAAATCGTGTGCTAAAAGCGTGACAAGAATGACGCTGCGTTACGAAACAGCGTGACCAGCTCTGTTTTTGGCGTGTTTGCACGAGTTCTTTGTTGTTTTACAAGCAGGAGGAAAACCGGAAGAAAAAGCGATATTTCAAGCCTTCAGGGTACCAGAAAACTTATGCAAGTCGAAGAACAATAATTAATAATTCCCTCCTGTGTAGAAGAAAATATTTCCTTAAGCAAATGGTATGTAAAAGTATTATTTTAAGTCGGAAAAATGACGGCTTTTTATGAATGTTTTCGTGCATGCAAAGCAAGAACAGGCAAAAACTTTCGTAAATGAAATCTTACTTTCAGTTTAACTTCACTATTGCACTAGACAGATTTAATAAATCAAAATCAAAATTTTCTTTGTCAGTATGCCTTTTGCGTGAATGTTTTTGAATGTATATGTTTTAGCGAGTGAAAGACAGTTTGTATATAAATACCAGTTTTTTCAAAGACAAAAGTTTATTTTATGTAGTTATGCTCGCAGGAAAACCTAAATAAATGGTTTAGATTTGGTGTAATGTGTGATTCCTTTTCAATTTTCATTKAACTTTAAAACAAACTAAGCTTATCTGTATGGAAATATTGAAAAAGTTATTTTATTATTCACCGATCCAAGGCGATCGAAACTGCTTTTTCTAGAACGTAACTGAAGTAAAAACATATGATTTTTCGCCAAAAACACCCGTGTTTTTGAAGATTACCATCTTTAAAAGATAGTTATTGCTGTTGTTCTTTGCCTTAAATTTGTCCCAAGCCGACGTTTTCTGTACCTTTGAGTGTTTTGAAACCCGCGGGAATCCCTTGATGTAGATGCGCAGTAAGATAATAGTAAATAAAACAAAAACGTTGTTATATAAACTCTGTTTTATATCTCCAGCAACAACAACACGCACATTGCCATGTGCAGGGGCGCCCTACAAACTACAGGGGCCCTCAAGGGGTGGCGTCAGGCTAAACGCTAAAGTAACTTATAACAGTGCTATGAATGGTTTGATCATCACCGGCCAACAATGGTAAGATCCGTCTACATGCTTCCATCTGAGGAATACGACTGCACCGTAAGCTAACTCGCCTCCATCTGAGAATCCGTAGATTTCTGGAGGCCCAAGTAAGTTGCTGGGTTTTAGTTGTCGGCAGCTGAGGCTATATGTCAGGAGATGATTCATTAACTGCAGGTTTCCCATCCATCTTTGTTAAACACTCTCAGGTAGAATCTCATTCCAGTAAAATCCTGAGCTCCACAGCTCTTTTAGGTCAATTCTGAATTTCATTGTGACTGGTGATACGAGAGCGATGTTTCTTGTCCCAACGATGACCGAGTAAGTCTACAGACGGCTAGGCGTCGGACTTGTCGACTTCATCATCACTGGAATGCCAGACCTTGATTTCAAACTGGCCTTTGACCAGTGTGCTGTCTATGTCCTTGGTGATTTGTTTGGCTTCGGACACTTGTTGTTTGCAAACAGCGATATCATCTACGTATGCATGCTCCTGAAGTTCCTTGGCAGCTTGAGAAAAGTCTGCTTGCGAGGCCTTGGCTAATTTGTAGCAATGTCAGATGCTGGTTTATCCCCGAAGCTCAGTCCGAGCCACTGATAAACCGTAGGCTGTTTACTTGTCTTCTTTGTCCAAAGGAACCTATGAGAGACTTGATCAAGGTGCACCATGACTTGGTTGAACATTTTGCGGATGTCACTAGAATACGCCACGTTACCCCATCTCCAAACTATGAGGACATCTGTCGGGTTATAGATGTAGTTTGGGAATGGAATGGAAACCAGGTCGCATTGTAGAATGGCAGCGCATTAACAGTGCACGCCGACCACACTTTCGCAATTGATTAGTTCATATAAGTTTCATCAATGATGCAATCAAAGCTTCAGTAGTGATCTATCTCCTTTATCAAGTCGATTGAGAAGTATGTCATTCTTTCCTTTGGGATGGGATAGAATGGGATGGGATGGGGAGGTTTGGGATAGGATAGGATGTGATGGTTTGGGATGTGATGGCATGGGGTGGTTTGGGATTGGATTGGATGGGATGGTATGGGATGGGTAGTTTGTGATGGGATGGAATGTGTTGGTTTGGGATGGGATGGTATGGTATGGAAAGGGATTAGTACATTGTTGATGGCTAATACTTTCACATTGTTAATGTTCACTATGACTTTCTTACAGGGAAGTTATCCTTAGAGTAGAGGATGCGTCAAATGCCCCACTCTTTTATATCAAGAACAAGAAACGTGGACCTCTGTTTATTCTCGTTGAAACCATGAATGCGAAAGTGAATTACTACTCTTCGTACACTTCTGAAGGTCGAGGATTTAATTTGAGATACTACGCCTTTAGCATGTCTGGTAATGACCGTAGGTGTTAGCGTTTTATTATATAAAACATTATTTATATTTAATTAAATTGTCATTGTCAAGCTTTCGTTTTATAATTCTAGAGCCATGTGACAAAACCTGGAACCTGTCCATTATCCAGAAAGATCCAGGAAGAATCAATGTTTCGTGGTCCCCCGCACCACAAGCATCTCACCAACCTGGTTCTACATACACTTTCTTGGTTTTATATAAAATGGTTAAAAGTACATACACTAACTTTACCACCGGTGCGAGTTCGAGAACGGCTAGGATTGAATTTCTGTATCCGAACACAACATATTCCATACGAGTGATTGCTCTGGACACGTCACATATTGAGAGTACAACAATATACAGTTGTGCACAGCTGGTGAAGACACTTGATGGTAAGCATCCATATTTCTCCTTCCAAAAATCCAGATTTCTTTTATTTAAGGCAGCAATTACGAGGCTACCTTCAATGCTTTACTAAGATTGGCCTTATTCTAATCGGAGTTATAATATTTCTGGTCACAGCATTCATCATCACTGTTTCTTTTCTTTTGTTCTTGACGTATTCCGATAATAGTAATTGTTCGCCTGGTCGGAGGTTCAGATAATACGAACAACACACAAGGTCGAGTAGAGGTTTTCTACCATGGTCAATGGGGAACAGTTTGTGATGACAGCTGGGACCTTAAGGATGCTAATGTTGTTTGTCGTTTTCTGGGTCTACCAAAAGCAGTGGATGCACCACGCAACGCAGCCTATGGTCAAGGAACTGGTCCAATTTGGATGAATGGTGTACGCTGCAGCGGAAGTGAATCATCTTTGTTTCAATGTGAGCATAAAAGACTGGGACCGCATAGCTGTAGACATTACGATGATGCAGGTGTTGCTTGTGGACTGCCACCATGTAAGTGTGTTATTGGTTTTAATCTATGCATTAAGAGGCAAATAGACAATGGGGAGTACTATTAATGAGTGACCTTGCATTCATGCACGTTATTAAGCATTGGAATTGAAACAGTTCTATGTTTGGGTAAAACGACGTACACTTCAATGGAGATTCAAGATTCAATTTATTCTTTACACCATTAAATATTAACAATAATTCACACTCAATCAAAGAAGAAAAAAGCTATTTACATTTTAACTCTATAATAAAATGGTTTTATACAGCATAAATGACAAAAAATTAAATTAACTAACTGGTTGAAGAGAAGAGAGTATATATATTTATCATATGACCTGCATCTGCCCGGGCGTGCGCTTTTAAAAAGCCTTCGGGAAAATGGCGTGAGCAGGGCCGTACGGCCGTACGTCCCTGCTCGAAACCTGCGACCGTATTTATTTCATTTTTTTTCTTCTTGAGGGTCATATGATAAAATGCTCATTGACTGAGTGAGGTTGGGCCGCACGGGAAAATATTTAGCTCTCGGTCATTATTCATATACAGTTACATATTCTTACAGTTACCATGCGAAAAAGCAGACCTAAATCGAACAAAACTAAACATAAACATTTTTAATCAGTGGTATCACTTTAAGAGGCGAACAACAAAACAAACAAATCAGACGCTATGACGAGACGGAAAGGCCTTGTTAGGCATGAGTGCTCATCTTCAAAGCCACATGGTGGGAATCATCATGCGCAAAATATAACGACCCCACAGCATTTTTGGGCTCAATTATCTTTACATAGTCATCATCCTAATTTGGTAAAAAAAAAGGAAAGTGAATACTTTCTGATTATGTTTAGAAAAACAACATGCAGACAGACAAAATGCCTTTTTGTGAGATAACGTTTTGTCAATATAATCTTTGTGATAATATGAATACATAGGCAAAGGCATTACAACATTATAGTTATTACTTACCCCATGTACAGTAATAACTATTTTTTTATGGATGACCTCCGCCAAAGTCCTGATTACCATAGCTGTTACGAAGTTTTCTTTCAGCAGGGCTAGAATTTCCCGCCAGCTAGAAGGCACGTCCACACCCCCCACATCCAAAGTGCAGACAAATTCCATACGGTTATTACCATCATTCTAAGATAAACCACTGGCCTGATTAATATCTTCACATATGGAGCAAAATGTGTATTTAGAAAACTACTCAATACATACATACATACATACATACTTTATTCGTCCTCTATAAGGCTTTTCAGAATAAAGGGCCTAATTAATTACAATTAAAATAATACTATATATAATTATATAAGAAGCAAAAAGAAAAGATCAAAGAATAAAGTAAATAAATAAATAGATAAATAAATTGTGCATTTAAATTACATTAAGGTTTTAAAAAATCTGAAATAAGATGTTGTTTTAATGTCCGTTTAAAGTCTTTCACGGTTGAGCTCAACTTAAGGGCAGAGTCTAGTGAATTCCACAATTTGACTGTTCTATAGTAAAATGATCTTTGTCCAGTAGTCGTTCTGCAAAAAGGTATCTGCAGCTTTTGCGAGTTTCTTGTCAATGAAAGAGGCTACAAGCTAAAAGAACTTACATCATATTGATTATTTCCCAAATAATCAAATACTATAGTCTTTACAACTTCCCAGCCTAGACCAAGCTGGTGACCTGCTGCCCTAAAAAGCAGTCTCCGTCTCCAGCAGGATTAAAAGCCAACGCGAATCCTGTTTCGCGAACCCTTTTTAGTAGTGATCTATCCATTCTAAAGGAGAAGTATGTTCAAATAATCAAATTAAAATAATTAGATCAGCTATTACTGGTAAACTTGGGAAATCATTAGCTTTAGTTATTCAGTTGTAAACATTTCTATATGCGGAAGAAAAAAATAGAATACAATAAATGTAGTGGCGTCGAATGTAATGGAATAGAATGGAATAAAATAGAAAAAACAGTTCCAAACTAGAGCGACAGAGCTCGCAAGGTGTACCCTTTCAAAATATTAAGGGGCCTTTCGTTTATTACAGCGCAGGAGGGGGTGTTTCATGGATTTATTGGTATTAAGAGATTAACCCCCTCTCGAAAATTTCTCATAAATTTTTGCCTCCCGCGTTTAAGCATATCATTTTAAAATTTTACCGCTAAATTCTCCAAAATCAAATTTTACCCCTCTCTCTCAAAACGCTTTTTTTGAAAACTTACCCCCTCCTCATTAAAACCACCAGCTCCCCACTGTGATGCAATAAACGAACAGTCCCTAATAATAATAATAAGAAAAAAATTGATTTGCAAAACTTGAATGGG